ACAAAAAAACCAAATAAATGAAATGAATAAAAAATTATAGCAGGTCTAATAAATATAATCAAATGATAAGATTTAAAGACAGTAAAATAAAAAAATATAAAGGATTAATCATAGTTCTTAAGAAAAATAAAAAATAAGAATACCCGAATTAATACACTTCAAACTAATTTAACTTGATTAAATCAAAATATATATTTTACTGAATCATAACTAAAACAGTTGATGATAGAATACTCATATTAAAAGGTGAATGTTAAATACTTCATAATCAATTTTCTAAATTATATGAAAGACTTATAAAGAATGACCAATTCATAAGCACACTCTCTTCAATAAATTAGTTCTTTTAAAAACAAAATGTATAAACCAATAAACAAATTGTTTCTAGTTAATCTTCACCAAAACAATTGATTCAATTAATTACTAGTTTCAGTTTATTCATTCAGAACATTCAATTTAATAAAACAGAAGTAGAAATTCTTAACCAATTAAAATTAGGTTCTCATGAAAAAAATAAGTCAGAAACAAGTTCTTTAATAAAATAATTAAACAGTAATTTAAAAATACTTAAAATTATGAACCAATTCATTTAATAAGTATTTTTACTATAGAAACAGAAAATTCAAATGTATTTGAAATTAGTATTTATTACTAATATTCTAAATATTTCTTTTTTTGCTGAATAATAATAATAGTACTAAATGGAACTACAACGTTTAAAGTTTGTAAAGTAATTTATGATGGTTGTGGATACACTTCATCTTCATAAAAAAACATTAGAAACCAACAACTAACTAATTAATAAGTAATATATTAGCTCATTATTTAAATTTTCTTTAAACAAAAGTTTATGCTATAAAAAACCCCTTTTCCAAATTAACAAAAGAATTAACAATAAAAAACTAACTTCGTATGAAAGAAAGTAAAAAATGTTATAAATATTATAAAAAAAGGAAAGATTCTTTTAAATTACAAACACAATATTTTTAGAAGAAGAAAAATATCAAAATGTATTTGTAAAAAGAGATAAAAAAAAAAGAAAAAAAGACTAACTAAAAAATAAATTAGAAAAAAACATGTCCATTCCAATTAAAAAAAAGAATCGTGGTGATGCGACACCACAACTTAATACACCACAATCTGGTTTAGGATATTGTGTTGATTTTGATAATATTTCTACACAATCTGGAGAAGATGTTCAAGTTGAATTCCAAGACACAGCTACAGTTGTTATTACAGAAACAGTAAATGAAAAAACAGAAAAATTTAAAAGAACATCTATTCCAAGAACATCGTTTAGTTCTCGTGGGAGTGTTGATGATTTTCAAACAAAATTTTATGGAGAATGTCCATTTTTTCCAACACCAATTCCAGAAAGAATACAACACGTTGTTATAAGTTCAGGAAATATTTTTATGATTGGAGAAGATGGAGTTTATGCAACAGGTCTTATTAATTATAAAGAAAAAAAAGTAACTGAAAATCCAATTGTTATTAAAGGAATTCCAGCAGGAATAAAACAAATTACTGGAAATCATAAAAAAATGATAATTTTAATTGATGGAAAAGTTTATACAACATCTAATTTAGAAGATATTGTAATGCTTAAAAGAGTTGGAGAATTACAAGGTGTTAGTCAAATTGCATGTTCTGAAGAACATTATGCAGCATTAACAACTGTAGGAGATGTATATCTTTGGGGAACAAATACCTATGGAGAAATTGGAAAGAATAGAATTGTTTCAATGAATAGACCTGCACGAGTTGTTGAATTAGGAAGAAAAAAAATTATTAAAGTAGTTTGTAGAGAAGGATATACTGCATGTTTAACAGAAGAAGGAGATGTTATTACATTAGGAGAAATGATATGGCAAAATATGGATAAAGTTGTTGATATTGTTGGATTAAGAGAAAATTTATGGGGATTAAAAATTGATGGAAGTATTATTAGTAATGATGGAAGAAGTGTTATTGGAAATAATAGAATTGATAGAATTACTGAAGGACTTGGATCAATTGTTGGAGAATCAAATGGGAAATTATATGTTTTAAAAAATAATGAATGGGAAATGGTTGATATTATTGGAGCAAGAGATTGGAGTGGATATTCTACATCATTATGTGTTCTTGAAAATGGAAAAAAGATAGGATTTACAGATATTTTTAATGAATTTAAAAAATATATAAAACAAATGACAATAATAAAAAGAAATTATATTGATATTTTATTACCAAAAATTAGAGATATTAAAATGCAATTATCAACAAAAGATGATAAAAAAGATAAAAAAAGATTAAAAAAACAAATGAGAACATTGTCTGTAGAACAAATACAATCAAATGAAAGTACATCTCATTTAGTTAAATTAGAAGAACCATTAGAATATTTATATTTATTATATAATAAATCTATAGAAGTATTTTCTTTTTTAATGAAATTATATGGTAATAATATTTCATTTAAAATTTCAGATTTATATCAAAAATTTTTTGAAGATTTAGAAGTTCTTTTTATTGATTATTCAGAGGCATTTCCTAAATATGTTGAAGTTATTAATATTAGTAAAATGTTATGTCAGTCCTTTTTAACAGAAATTGAACAAATTGAAAAAAATAATTTTACAGAAGATGAATGTTGTTTATTATTTAATAAACATTGTGATTTATTAAGTGTTGCAATTATTCCATTTAAATTTCTTTCAAAATTTTATGAATTATCATTACAATATCGTAAAATTAATAAAGAATTCTCACGTTCATATTTTGAAAAATTTGAAACATTATTATTTAGATGTAATGAAATTTTAAAATTTGAAGATATTCATTCAATTGAATATGTTTATTCTACTTCACAACAAGAATTTGTTGTTTATCTTTCTACAATGAAAGATTTAGTTCTTCAATTAACTAGACCTAATATAAGAGAACCAAAATATAGAGAAATATTTTTATTAATGTACAGGTTATATACTTCTCCTGAATGTGTTATAAATTATTTAATTCCTCATATTAGTATAGATGAAACTGGTGATAGAAAAACTCAAATTTTAATTGTTTTAAAACAATGGATGCAAAGTTATCCAAATGACTTTAGTTTATTAGGTAAATCAGAAAAAAAATTAATAAATTATTTATCTACTTCTAAAGAACCTTTTAGTAAAATTCGTAAAGAAAAATTAATTGTATTAGATTTATTTAATCAAATTAAAGGAAATTCAAATATTACTATTTACCCTCCTCTTATTTTTGATAATTCTGATTTAGATCCTTCTGATTTTATGGGAGATCCTTATAAAATAACAAATTCAATGACTTATGTTTATAAAAAATTATTTATTAGAATTAAACCAGTAGAATTATTATATTATTTAGATAAAACAAAAAAAGACCAAACATATAATATTAAAAATATGATTGATAGTTTTAATGGTCTTTCTAAAATGTATGCTTCAATGTTTAATAAAATATCTAAAGATCAAAAATTATCTTTACTTCAACAAACTATAAAAATACTTGACATTTTCCTTAATCGTGATAGAAATTATCATGCAATTTGTGGTATTGTTTTTGCTTTTGTTCGTATCCCTGAAATTGAACAATTAAAATCACAATTAAAACCAGAAGAACGAAAACGATATGATTTCTTTGATAATTTGTGTTTATTTGAAAATAATTATAAAAATTTAAGAGATACTATCTCTTCATCTCAACAACCTTTATTACCTTTTATGGGTACCATTAGTAGAGATTTGGTTCTTGTTTCTGAATATAATGCTTCAAAAGAAAAAGAATTATTTAACTTTAATAAATTAAGAATCATGCACAAAGTCGTTATGGATATCATTAACTACCAACCTGGTGAACCACAAATTCCAACTGATATTGATAACATTTTCCATAAGAAATTCTGTTTAATGCATCAATTATAAACAGTTTTTCTTTTAAGTTTTAATAAAAATTTATTTTTTTTTTATTTTTTATTTTTATAATAATTATTTCTTAATATAATAATTTGATGATAACTTAAATGATTTTACATCCCATTATATTGTCTTTTCTTTCTAAATAATTAATTTAAACTTTAAAACTATTTTGAATTGTAAACGAAATAATATTATAATACTTATTGTTATTTGATTTTTTTTCTTTCCTTTGTTTTAAAACTTAATATTTTAGAGAAAATTATTCTGTTAAAGAATTAAAGACTGAAAAAAAAAAAATAAACCATTAAAATGATTTATATAACATAAAATAATAAAAATTCATCATCTGTTTAGTCAAAACTATAAAATCAAATAAATAAATAAAAAAAAATGCAATGGATTAAATCTGTTTATAATGACATTGTTTCTACTGAATTAGATGATGGACCAAAAGTAGAAGAATTATTTGAAACATTAACAAGTGCAGAAGATAAAACAACTGTTATTTATGATATATATTCAAGTTCTCATACAAATCATTCAGTATTTCTTCAACATTTAAATCAATTAACTGAATTATTAAAAAATGCTGATGTAGAAACAGATAGTCAAATGATTAAATTTATTTGTTTAATATTAAAAGAAATTACAACAAAACCAAGAAATACAGATGGGTTTGAAGAAGAGTTATTAGTTGAAGGAATTTATAAAGAACTTCCAAATTTTGATTATATATTATGTTCTAAATTAGATGGAATGAAAGATATGCAAACAATTCAAACTATATTATCTACAATTACATATTTCTTAAAAACATATAAGTCATATGCAAAATTTACTTGTTTCTTTGAAATGTCACAGTTATATCCTTTGTTTATTCAAAACCTCCCTAATTCTTATATGCATAATGATATTGCAATGTTTTTAACAACTATTTGTAAAGATAATCAAGAGCTTCAAAAACTACTTGTATTTAATGGAATTTTTGATGTTATTTTTCAAGCATTTGCTGATGCTCAATATATCAAAAATCCAAGAAAAATTGTATTATATTTTGATTTATTAAAAGTATTGTTAGATAATAATAATCAAAATGAGTATAACTTTAGAGAATTAAATTATGGAAAAACTCTAATTAAATTTTTTGATGATGTAAAACCACAAACAGTTGCTGATTTACAAGATGACCAATTAGAATGCATTATCCATATTTATTCAGTTCTTGAATTATTCTTTAATTCTAACCTTCCTTCATACAAAATAAATCAAAAATATTTTGTTTCTCTTGGATTATTAGAAATTATTGGTAGTTTATCTTTATCAGATATTCCATATCCTCCTTCTTTCTTACTTTTCTTAAAAACAGTTTGTTCATTTAATTATAAATTATTTATTTCATTTATTAATTTGTATAGTCTATGAAAATCATTTCATTAATGATTGATGATAATAGTGAATGTCAACAACAATTTGCAAAAACAAAAATACCACTATATCGTGTTTCTCTAAAGAAAGAAATCTATGCATTAGATAGAATTGTTCCAATTGCTCTTGGTTCTCCAAATATTGATATTCAATTAGCTGCATATGGAATCTTTTATCATATTTAAAGAATAATTCAGATGCTCAACTATCAATAGCTTCAACTTTACTTCCTTTGGCTAGACCAAATGAAGATTCAACAATTGGTAATTATATCATAAATTCATTCTTTAAAAAAGATAATGTAAGAACATACACAATTGCTTCTATGTTGTTAAACACTATTTTCCTTAATCCAACATCTCGTTATGTCTTCCAAAAACCAATGAACATGAATGAAGATAAAACATTCTTAGAAGTATTTATTGATACTGTAGCTTCAACTGATGAACGTGCAAAAGCACTATCATTATTAAAAATATTAGTCACAGTAACATACGAAGCTGACAATGATTTCTTATTAAAATTAATGAATGAAACATTATTTACATATTTATTACTTAAATCAAGTGATTCAGATTTGTTTCATTCTTCATTAGCTTGTATTATCTTATTTGATGTCTTAAATGAACTTAAATTTAATTCAGCACCACATTCAAATACTGAAATGATTAATAAAATTTCAAGAGCAATTGATACCATCGGTTTCGAACAAATGAAAAAAAAATTAGATAATTTATTAATTTCAAAAGAATTCATAGAAGCTGAAACACAAGGTATAAGTACTGGAATGTTATTTGATCGTGAATCAGTTCGTTTTATTACTAAAATTGTTCAAGAAGTTAAAGAAAAGAGAGAAGTTGGTGAACAAAAATTGAAAGAAAGAGAAGTTCAAAACTTAAAAGAAGAAATAGAGGAGTTAAAGAAGAAGAATGAACTCATTGAACAAATGCTCACTGAGACTCAAACTAAAGTAGAAGAACTAAACAACCAACTCGAATTAGAACAAGCTTTAAATGAAGATAATCAAGAAATGAAAGAACAAAAAGAAGTTCTTTCTCAAGAAAATGAAGAATTAACAAAAAAACTTACATTAAAAGAAGAATTTATTTCTCAAATACAACAACAAATAGACACTCAAAAAAAAGAAGAAACAGAAATGATTAAGAAAAACGAAGAATTACAAAGTCAAATCAAACAAAATGAAGAGGAAATTAATAGACTAAAAGAAAATCAAATAAAATTAGAAGAATTATTGAAAATTCAAAAAGTAAATGAAAATGAATGTGGTAAAGCTCAAACAGAATTAAATATGATCAAAAACCAATTAATAAAAATGCAAGATGAAGCAAAAGAAAAAAATTCAACAATCGGTGAATTAGAAAATAAGTTAATGCTTCAAGAGAATATTATCTTACAATTAAAAGAAGAAATTGTCTCAAAAGAAAAAGAAAAAATGGAAATGAAATTAGAACTTGATTCAGTTACTAAAACCAACCAAACAGAATCTTTAAACAATAACTGGAAAAATGAAAAAGAAATTTTATTAAAAGAAAATGAGTCTTTAAAAGAGCAATTAGACTCAAAAAATGATGAGCTCTTGCTAAATCAAATGCAATTAGATGAATATATCAAAGTAAATGATGAATTAAATCAAACTGTGAATAATTTAAATAAACAACTTAATCAATTCAAAGAATCATTTGAATCAATAAATAAAGAAGTTGCTGATTCTTTTAATGACTCAACCGAAGTGCCACAAGAACAGCCACAACAAGAAGACAATAAAACTACTTCAAAAATACAACAAAAACAACAATCGACTGATGAAAACAATGAAAAAAATCAATCTCAACCAGTGACTGATCCAACCACTGCTGGAGTTCAAATGCCAACTGTCACAATGAATGATTTGTTCTCAACCATTCATTCAATCTTTAATTGAGTTCTATTTTTCTAATGTTTGTCAAGAAAGAAAAGAAAAGAATAAATTAAAGTTGAAAAGGGATTTCATGGTTAATAAATTTTTTCTTAGTACGAGAGCGATAGTTAGCGAACCAAGTGTTGAGTTGTTTAATAGAGATATTACATTGATGAGAAAGGGAGAGTTTTTCGAGTTCAGAAGGATAAGGGTATTGAAGATGGTTCATGAACCAATGTTTGAGAATTGATTTAGAACGTTTATCTAAAAAGTTTCTAGGAGAACGATAAGTTTGGGTAGAAAGAGGAAGATGAAAAGAAGGAGAAGAAGGGAAATCAAGAAGAGGAGGAAGAGGAATTGCATTTAGATTAAGAAAGTCTTTAAGATTAAGAATAAGAAGATATTTAAGATGAGAATAAATATTAAGAAAGATCGATTTAATAGAAAGAAGTTTAAAATGAAGTTCAAAAGGAAGAATAACACGATGTTGAAGAAGAAGAAAAGAATTAATTTGTGAAGAATAATATTCAGCATATAAATTAAGAATTTCAACTAAAGAAGTAAAAGAAGTAATCATTTTATTAAAATTAGATAATATTTCAGAAGAAGAAATATTTGGTAAAATTAAATTTAAAGAATTAATAATAATATCATCATCAATATTAATAGGAATACAAATCAATTTTCTTGTTACTTCATTTAAAATAATTTCATTATTTATATCATTAATTAATTCTTTATCAATTTCTTCAAATATTTTTTTAATTCTTTCTTTATCTT